TGGTATTGAAAACGCCATGAAAACAGGTACTGAAATCGATTTCAGTCTCAAGGTCGTTCCACCTTTTTTTGGGATCGTATCGAGATTTAAATTCAGAAACATGCAATTCGATTTCAATTCTAATTTTACCTCTACATGAAAACGGAGAAGAGGATTGGATTCAAAACGATTTGAAAACTCCATGAAAACGTAGTAATTGTATACCTAGCGAGCCGTTGTTCGTTTATTTGAAAAATAAGGTCGATAAAGTAATAGAATCGCTGTGATATTTGAATATTTGTGTTTGAGGTTATATCTCTGCGATGCCGCAAAGTGCTTGCACAGTGTGCAGTCTTGATCTGGGGGGCGATGAGAGACAAATAATCGCCTGCGACACCTGCAGAACTCGTTCTCACTTAGCCAAAAGATGCTCTGGAGTCAGTACCTCAGAGGCCAGGGCAGTAGTACTGCAAAAACGAAGCCTTATGTACTTCTGCCAAGATTGTCGAGATGCATTCAAGAGAGTTCCAATGATGGTCCGTAAAATCGTCCAATTGGAAGAGGAGATGCAAACTTTAAAGCAAACTATTCAAAGACTGGAGAAAGAAAACTCTGTTAACGCAGAGTCATTAATCGATGAGGTGAGCCATCGTACAACCAGAGCTCATAATTTAATGATATATAACATTCCGGAGTCACATTCCCTTAATTTGAATGACCGTATCGACCATGACAAATCCAAAGTTGATGAAGTTTTCACCATGTTGGGTGTGCAGCATGAAATTTCTTCTGTTAGGAAAGTGGTTCGTGTTGGTCAGTTGAGGGAGGATGCCACTAGTTCAAGGCCTGTAAAAGTTATATGCAACAGTGAAACTGTAAAGCTAGCCATTAAGTCTGGTAGAAAATTGCAAAGATCATGCTACAAAATTTCTTTTGATCAGACACCTATGCAACAACAAGCTTATAAAAAAGCTAAAGGAATCCTGGAAACAAGAAAATCAGCGGGGGAAGGGAATCTTACCATTAGGTACCGAAATGGTGTACCTGTAGTTGAAATTAAACAGCAAAAAAACACGGAAACACCCCATTAAATGTGTATTTTCAGAATGTAGGAGGTCTACGAACTAAGTTGAGTGATCTTATGAAAGGAGTGGCATGCTGTAATTATGATATTGTTGTTAAGGTTGAAAGCAACTTGAATGTGGACTTCTCTGATGGTGAACTTAAGTGCAAAGGTTTTAACACATTTCGCTGTGATAGAAATTCAAGAACAAGTCAAAAGCTTAGTGGGGGTGGCGTCCTTATATTGGTTAATGAAAAAATTAAATCTCATTACATGAATATAACTGAAGACAGGGTGGAACAGCTATATGTTGTGTGTCAAGCTGACAGTACCCTAGGCAGTACCAAGTTTATTGTTGGAGGAATTTATATACCGCCTCAGTCGTCTCGAGAGACATATATATTGCACTGTGAGACAGTGGATAGTATAATCCATAAATATCCAGCACAGAATATATACTTGGTAGGTGACTACAACCTACCAAATGCTATGTGGTCCAATGATGAATACGGGACAGTGGTCCGATGTCCAGGGGGCGATCCAGCTTTAGAGGTAGCTCTTTCTTTTGGTTATCATATGTGTTTCCAGCACAATAGCATACCTAATGACAGAAATGTTCTCTTGGATCTGGTTTTTTCTAATGTTAGAGACTGTGAGGTGCATAGGGCTAGTGATCCACTTCTTAATTTTAGCTTGCATCATATTGCTTATGAATTTACAATAACACATTCTGCAAAAACTAAGTTTAACGATTTAATATACAACGAATTTTACTATGATTTCAGGAGTGGTAACTATATAGAATTAAATAATTATTTGGCATCCATTGACTGGGTTAAGTGTCTTGCAAATATTAATGTCAATGACGCATCCAACTTATTTTATGAACTCCTGTTAATTGGCATTGCCTACTTTATTCCTCTTAAAAAATACCGTACATATACTTTTCCAAAATGGTTTTCTGGTGACTTACGTAGGATGACTTTAGAAAAAAAACTTGCACATGCTGTCTACAAAAAAGAACGGTCCAATATTAGTTATTCAAGGTTTTCTGAATTGCGTTCAGAATGTAAGAGACTCTCAGACATTTGTTTTAATAAGTATATCAGCGGCCTTGATGCAAAGTTAATTGAGGATCCCAGATCCTTTTGGAAGTATATAAACGATAAGCGTTCTGTTCATAATCTACCTAGGTCATTATTTTATGGTAACCGTGAGGCTGCTAGTGGCCAAGACATTGCAAACTTGTTCAGTGATTTTTTTCAAACTGTTTATACTCTTGACCCAGCTGATTTGTCTGAGAATGTAATTGAAAACATGAACATAAGTAGCAACATAAACTGCACTATAATTTCAAAAATTGACATCTTCAATGAAATCTCAAATGTTCCTAACAAATTATCCTCAGGACCTGACGGCATTCCCAATTTCTTATTAAAAAAATGTGTTTTGCACCATAGTGTCACCCTTATATATACTTTTCAACAAGTCTCTACAATCCTCAATTTTTCCTAGTGTATGGAAAGAGAGTAATATCGTTCCGATATTTAAAAGTGGCAAAAAGGACAACGTTGAGAATTATCGAAGCATACGCATACAGTCCGCGATACCTAAGATATTTGATTGTCTTGTCACCAAACAGGTTACTTGGCAGTGTAAGGGCCTTATTCGTCAGGAGCAGCATGGCTTTTCGAAGGGCAAGTCGGTGGTATCCAATTTGACAACCTATCAGCTAGATATTCTGCATAACATGGTGGACAGAAAACAAACTGATTGTATCTATACAGACTTTTCAAAGGCTTTTGATCGTGTCGATCACAAAATTCTGCTTAACAAGTTACTTCAGATAGGTTTTAACCCTGAATTTGTGCTGTGGTGGAAGAGCTCGCTCACAGATAGAATTCAGAAAGTTAAAATAGGTTGTTATTACTCAGATATAATTAATGCCACATCGGGAGTTCCCCAAGGGGGCCATAGTTCACCTCTTTTGTTCAACATTTTTGTAAATGACATTGCTCACTGTTTCTTGGGGAGCGATTGTTCCATGTTTGCCGATGATCTCAAGTTTTGGAGGATCATCGAAAGTACTTCTGATCAATTACTCCTTCAGGAGGACCTGAATCGTCTATCAGATTGGTGTCAAAAAAACAAGCTAAACCTAAACGTAAAAAAATTTTGTTACATAAGTTTTTCACGTAAACCTGACAGGATCATGACTGACTACCATATCAGTGATCACTGATCAACGGCTTGAATATAAATCTTCACTTAGAGATTTGGGTGTTATTTTTAATGAGAAACTTTCGTTTGTTGAGCATATAAATTCAGTCTCTATCAAAGCTTCAAAAATGCTGGGGTTCGTCATAAGAAACTCTAAGTATTTTTCTATTGAAGCCATCAGAATGATCTATTGTTCCTTGGTAAGATCATTGCTTGAGTATTGTTCAGTTATATGGTCCTCATTTTATCAAAACCATTCTGATTCTTTGGAGAGGGTTCAGCATAAATTTCTACGAGTGTGTGCCTTTAGAAACAGTATTAGGATTGTGAACCATGACTATAGCGCCATAGAAATGCAATTAAAATTACCTACTCTAAGCGAGCAACGAGACTTGTTTGGCTTAATATTTTTATATAAAATAATTAATGGAATTATTGATTGTCCTACCCTTTTAAGCCATATTAGCCTAAATGTGCCTTATTATCATGGTCTGAGATATCATAATACTTTTAACATTCCTTTTTGTAGAACATCCTATGGCGCTAACAGTCCAATTATCAGATATCTATCTATGTTAAATAATCTTGATATTGACGTTTTTAATGTGAAACTAGCTCAATTTAAAACAATCTGCCATAATGTGATAAATGTACCTTAACTATTTATAACTCTCTGTTCCTATCAAAGCTACTATAATACCTTGTACTAAGTAATTATTTCCTACTTAAATGTGCTTTCATATTTTGTTAAATGCATAATTTGTTCAATTTTTCGACTACTTCATAATTTTTAGACTATTTATGTTTACTTTACTGATTTTGGTTCATTTTTGCTTATTTTTTGAGTTTGTATTTATTGTTTTTGCACTCATTTCAAAACCTATTGTTAGGTGACATTTTGTCCTATTTATTTATATACATTTATAATGATATAGATTGTTATTTAGGTCTAGTGTTTATGTTTGCCTGGCCTTTGTTAATTCTTGTATAATTTCTTCTTTAATGGGGTTATCCCGTAAATAAATAAATAAAATAAATAAATAAAAATAAAAAATAAAACACCTTTTTTTCTCCTATGCATTACGCGTTAAGAATTACGCATTATCAATTAGGAATTAAAATTGTGCATTATCCATTAAGAGTTGGCCCACCTTGATTCTTGCCAATTATTTGCAACAAAATCTCGAACAAAATAAAATAACCACAGGACAGGGCATAGGCAAACATCCCCGAGAACATACCATACCTAAAGCTTGGCTTCTGAAAAATATGTAAACAAAAACAAAGCAACAATAAACTAGAGCAACTTTAATTTTAGAAAATTTTCTTGAGATATCAAAGGCCTCTCAGCAATCAGTCCCTAGGTACCCTCTAAGGTGCTTTCATTATTAATGATATACAAATATGTTTTAATTGACTAGCTTTCTCACAGGTCATGCACACAAGTTAATTGTTTGTTAACAGTTTGAGACCAAGCCTCGAGGCCAACTACCTATGTCCTATGGGGAGATGCCGGAGATGGTTTACCTACCTACAATAATGTTTGTTTTAAAAAAAACCATTTTACATTAAAATAAGTGAACTAATTATATCTAAATGCAAAGTTGACACAAATACAAACGCAATTATCGAAAATTGTTATAAATGCTTCTCGATTGTTGGGTCGAGTCGATAATAGCCTTCGACTATAGGGCGTTGTGCTCCTGGCATTTTTATTTTAAAGTTCTGCTGGACTTACCTAGTACGCCACTTAATAAAAACTTGTTGCAAACGTTGGATGTGTATAAAACCAGTTTATTATACTCTTGATGGCCAATTTAAACTAAAATCTGTGGGGAAATGATTGGAAAATCATTGAGCAGCAATATTCAGCATAGGCTTGACGGCTTGCTTTTTTCATAACAAAATGACAATTGACATTTGACAATTTCTATTTGACGATTTTGACCAGTGGTGGTATGACATAAGAGGTTTTCAGTTGTATCTGTTTAGACCCAATAGACCTGCTCGGGGCCGAATAGCATACATCAACATTTTGTCTTCAAGGGACTGCAATGTTTTTTTCGTCCATTTTCGAAAAAAATAAAAGGTCAACTACCTACTAATATTTACGATGTACATACATCATACATCACAAGCTGGGTTCGGCTTGCCCGTGCACTCCGAGTAACTCCGTTCGCACTCCAGCCGTTCGGGTATTACCTTTTAACGAATCAGACAATGGCTGGAGTGTCAATGGAGTCATTCGGGGTGCACGGAGTGTGCAAGCCGAACCCAGCTAAATTATTGTTGACTTCAAATGTCAAATTAATATTAGGACAATCCACATTCGGAACAAATTTTACTGCTCCGAACATGGATGCTCGTCACGACAGCGTGAAAACTTCGAAAAGGCGAGAACACTCTGGCACAGCTTTACTATAACATAATGTTATAGTAAGCTGTGACTCTGGCTTGTTATGACGTCGAAATGGTGACACACCAATATGGCGGCGATTACCAGAAACGAGGGCGATAAGCAATCCTTATGGCCGTTTGCACCGACAATTTTAAAAGGGAGGCTTAACGATAAGTATAACTTAAAATGATATTTCTACATATAAAAATGTCACTTTAAGGAATACTTATCGTCAAGCTCTCCTGAAAATTGTCGGTACAAACGGCCATTAGTAGTCTGTATTATCCTTGAGCTGTTTGCACTACTAGTCTGTTTTTTTTTTAAAGACCAAGTGAAAAATTTAGTAACATGTTGGCAACACAAGCGTTTTCTACATAAAAAATTTGAAAACATTGACAATTTTACATTGTATTGTCAACATAATGTCATTTTGACTTTTATCTTTAAAAAAAAAAACAGACTTTAGAGGTCGTAGTCAATGAACTATCGTAGTATAGAATTTAAATTAATGATGAATAATAGTGTTTAATTTTGATTAATATAATAGGCAAAGGGCTGGTTTCTCAATAGCGAACCACCCCCGGGTTAAGCATAACTCCGGGGTGAACATAAAATTTGTTCTTTCCCCAAGTCAAAAATTTAGTAACTATGTTGGCGTTGGCAACACAGCCTTTTCCACATAAAAAATTTAAAAGCATTGACAATTTTACATTGTATTGCCAACATAATGTCATTTTGACTTTTATCTTTAATAAAAAAACAGACTTTAGCAACTGCACACGTTTACCCTGGAGTTAAAACCAACCCGGAGGTGACTCGCTATTGAGAAACCGGCCCAAAGAGGAAGATGAAAACGAGATCTAAAAAAGTGTTGTTTAGGATGTTAAATAATAGGTCTGTTTCTGCAGAAATCACAAACCAGTCGAAGTGAATTTCATTGGTTGACTTGTATGCATAACGCAAAAGACCGTGGAATCATAACCTGTAGTGCAAACAGCCAACGTCAAGGCGAGAAAGGACATGCTGCCTACGTCACAACTGGTGATTTGGGTTGATGGGGGCTTCAGATTTGTTCTACACAGGTCTTATGAGGATAGGCTATCCTTTAGAGTACTAGTGTGTATTATCCTTGTCCTGTCCATTGTATTGTAAAGTCTGTTTTTTTTAAAGATAATTCCCCAAGTCAGAAATTTAGTAACTATGTTGGCAACACAAGCCTTTTCTACATAAAAAATTTGAAAGCTTGACAATTTTACATTGTATTGCCAACATAATGTCATTTTGACTTTTATCTTAAAAAAAAAGGGCAGTGGATAGAGGTCCGAAAATTCGGATCTCTAGTGTCACGTTCATACTAATCCGATAATTTTTGGGATTTTCAATTTGTATATTAGGGGTCCGAAAATACGGATCTTTAGTGGTAATAAGATTCGAAAATAGATGTTTATTTCTGATTCTGTCGTAATTAAGGAATATTATAAAAGTTGCTTATATTTTTTAGGATTGATACTAGAAAAAATGGATCCTCTAATCTTTTTTATGCAGAATAGCTAATCAAGTTTACTCGAACATATTTGGTTGGTGCAATTTGAAACAAAAAAGTACAAAAAACAAAACTAAGTAGGTACCTGAGTAGGTACCTTTTTTCTTTCAAAACATTACATAAATAAAAATAAATATTTGTTTATTTTAAGGGTTAATAGGGTGAGAGGTGTGATTAAGTTCCTTCTTCACTGCATGCAAAACCAGGCTTTATTCTCACTAGAAGGCAGCTTTGTTACTGAACAGCACACCGAAGACATGAATCAGACCGTCGTAAGCAATCTTCATGTATCACTTTGTTACATATATCACATATCCATTTTAGAATATTATTTGTTTTTTTTTTTTTCAATTCGTTTTTGTAATAAAACATAGGAATCCTGATAAATATATGCTTCTATTTCTGCTAAAGATATTTCTTCTTCAAGAAGAAGTGGATCAATTTGTTGATGATGAGGAATGTTTTCTTTCCAAATCTTCTGTATTTAAAATTGCATTAAGCATTATCTGGTGCCTCAGTTTAGGAACTTCATTTTTGAATAAAACACTTTTATTTTTCTTAGACCTTTTTAGTCCAAATGCAGTTAATTGATGTCCCTTGGGTCTTCCTTTATGGGCAAGTTTTAAAGGAAATTTAATACTTTTTATTTTTTCTTCTAATTGATTTTGTGCAGTAGTATTTGGTTCTTGGGCTAGTTCCATTAAAATGGCGTTGCAAATATTAACAAAGAATAATATTCTAGATAAGTCTGTTTCTGTAGAAATCACAAACCAGTCAGAGCAAATTTTATTGGTTAAAAATAGTCAAAAACAGTCAGAAAATTAGTTTCAACCAATGAAATTTACTCTGACTGGTTTGTGATTTCTGCAGAAACAGACTTATCTCGAATATTATTCTTTGTAGATACTTGCGACGATAATATTCCTTAATTAGACAGAATTAGAAATAAACATCTATTTTCGGATCTTCAATTACCACTAAAGATCCGCATTTTCGGACCCCTAATATACAAATTGAAAATCCGAAAATTATCGGATCTTTAGTATGAACACTAGAGATCCGAATTTTCGGACCTCTATCCACTGCCAAAAAAAAACACACTTTATTATGCCCGTATTCTAGTCAACCATCCAAGGACCTTTTTTTCAGTTATACATGTAAACCCCATACTTTGTGAGTGGCTTGCTTACATCAAGTCCTACAACTTTTCCTCTACGACTTTTCTCGGAAATGGCACGTATGCGCGCAGGCGACTCGCAAACATGTCGATCTGACGTAGCTATGTTTCCTGATACATGTAGGTAAATCTAATTTTACGAATACTGTTTGATTTTTATGTCTAAATCACGGAAATCAACTTGGCCGACAAAAATAATGGCAAATTGAGGGAGTCCGATACCCCCAAAATGTCGATCTGACGTGGTTATGCTTCTTGATACATGAAAATCTAATTTCACGAATAATGTTTGATTTTTATTTCTAAATCACGGAAATCAACTTGGCCGACAAAAATAATGGCAAATTGGGGGAGTCCGATACCCCTAAAGGGGGTTTTACATGCTGCAATAAATCTTGCAGTTAGACGGTGCAAGTGCAAGTACCTGCAAGACTCTTTCTGTAAGATTTCTTACGTCGTCTTGCGGTTTGGTTTTACATGTGTTTTGAAATCTTGCAATTGCTTTCTTCTGCCAACATAAAGGAAAAAAAATTATAGAAAAACAGAACCTCACTTTCCAATACCTATTCTTGTTGGTGTTGGTAGTTGGTACTTGTTTACTATTACTTTTGTTGTATGTAAAAAATGAATCGTATTGTATCTCAAAAATTAATAGTAGAAATAGAAAAAAGGTTATTGCTGCTAGTCTTTGCATCATTATTGGTGCCTCCACTATGTTACAAGAAACCATTGTATTTGCCTACGATACGTCGATACCTACGTGTTGATGATTCTCAGTATAATAATAGTATATTATATACCTAGGTAGAGAAGTTGGTCATTATATACCGAAAGCTTTTATAAACCGAGGCGCGCAGCGCCGAGGTTTATAATGCTTGAGGTATATAATGACTTTCTCTACCGAGGAATATATAGAATTTTTTTTACTACCTACTGCTAGTAAAAAATAAAAAATTTGTTTAAAATCTGTGTTGTAATTATTTTTTGTGAACGCCCTCTTGAAAGTGCTGCCCTCTATCAACAGCTTATATAACTTCCTATGTACCTACAGAAACCTGTATTTTTTTTCAAATTGACGTATGAAATTGAAATTGAACCAATAGAAACATGACAATATCCTTGCGTCATGACGTCATTTTCATTATTGACCTAGGTATTTTTTCATTATTTTCATTATTAACCTAGGGAGAGAAATTCAATTTTTTCTTAGAAAAATAGATTGAATAATGTCTATTTCTCAGGTTAGTAGTAAAAAAAATAAAATATCTCTACCTGCATATTGAAAATAAAAATTGATTCAAACAGATAATGTCATTGGTGCCTACCTAATATCATTATTGTTTCCTATGAAACCTAGGTATACCTACCGAGGTATCTATCTACCTATAAAAGTAGATTATTTTCAGTGCATAATTAAAAAAATAAATGATCTCTACTTAGACTTATTTGTATTTTAAGTCGATAGTTGATTCAAACACGGCTCTGATATAAGTAGGTATACCTAATCTATCACTATTAATCTATAAAATATAAACATAATTTCAAAAGTAGTAACTTTTATTGAAAGTTGGCATGCCAAAAATTACCAAATTTTCCCCCAAAAATAGTCTTGCAGAGTCTTGCACTTGCAGAAATATCGAACAGAACCGATAAGTTGTAATTGCAAGAAGTCTTGCGACTTGTCATCAGCTGGGTTGCAACTGCGCATGCCTTTTGCAAGAGTTCTTGCAACTTGCACCGACTTGCAGGTACTCTTGCAGCATGTAAAACC